TGGGTGTGGTAATGCATTCCTGTAGTTCCAGCTGTTTGGAAGGCTGAGGTGGAAGGATCGCCTGAGCCCAGCAGGTCGAGGCTGCGGTGGCCATGAGCACGCCCCTGCCCTCCAGCCTGGGCAACAGAGTGAGACTCTGACTCAAAAAAAAAAAAAAAGTTTGGCTGAGCGTGGTGGCTCAGCCTGTAATTCCAGGATTTTGGGAGGTCAAGGTGAGAGGATTGCCTGAGCCCAGGGGTTCGAGACTAGTCCAGGCAACTTGGTGAGACCTCTTCTCTATGATAAATTTAAAAGTTATCCAGGTGTGGTAGCGGGCGCCTATAGTTCCAGTTACTTGGAAGGCTGGGATGGAAGGATCACCAAAGCCTAGCAGGTCAATGCTGGGGCAGCCATGAGCGTGCCACTGCCCTCCAGCCTGGGCAACAGAGTGAGACTCCAACTCAAAAAAAAGAAAAAAAAGTTTGGCCAGGCACAGTGGCTCAGCCTGTAATCCCAGCACTTGGGAGGCCAAGGTAAGAGGATTGCTTGAGCCTGGGGGTTCGAGACCAGCCTGGGCAACTTGGTGAGACCTCATCTCTATAATAAATCACAAAAACTAGCCAGGCGTGGTGGCGTGTGTCTGTAGTTCCAGCTACTTGGAAGGTTGAAGCAGAAGGATCACCTAAGCCCAGCAGGTCGAGGCTGCGGTGGCCATGAGCGTGCCACTGCACTCCAGCCTGGGCGACAAGTGTGAGACCAACTAAAAAAAAAAAAAAATTTACAAGAAAAAGAGGATACAGGTAGGGAGATAGAACCAGATAAAAACAAAAGGTGGAGAAGGAAGAAGAAAAAAGAAGAAATGCTAAAGGGGAAACACCGAGTGAGCGAGACGGGGCGGGCAGAGCTGACCAGGGCAGGGCTGAGGCGAGCTGGCTAGCCCCCTTCCCCAGCCCTCTTACCGATGGTGTGGCCTGGGGCAGTCACTCCCGTCCCAGCCCCGTCCGGCGTCGGGTGGAAAGGCTGCTGAACTTTGGTCCGGATGATTCTGCAACGGCATCACAACGGCATCACTCGACCCGCTTCCGTCCCCCGGCCCTTCCTCGTCCACCTGTCCCCACATCCACGTGCACTGGCGGCTGCAGCCCCCAAGCCTTTCCTCCTATGGGCTCTGGGCCCACGTCTGTCTGCAGGCTGTTCCGTGCACGTCACCCCAAGTGCAGCTGGGGTTTCGGTGTCAGAATGGGGCAGCGGACCCCGTGGGGCATGACATCCTTTTCCTCTTTTGGGGGCTGAGGACCACCCTGGGGGCTTGCTGTCCACCTCTCTCTCCTCAGCCTCGCTGGCAAATCCCTCTGGGACGGGACTTCCTGGGTCTTGAGATCATTTTGGAGCTGGCTTTTCCTCTGCCACTGTACATCTTGGAGCTGGCTTTTTCTCCATCCAGAGTGCAGGAGGGAACGTGAGATTTCCCAAGACCCCAAGTGCCGAGAGTTGGTCAGAGGAGGGCTGGGCCACAGCTGACCCTTCTGTCCCCAGGACTCCACATGGCCCCTCTACCAGACGTCAGGGCCTGAACAAGCCCTTCCTGAGTCCACGTACTGCCCTCAACAAGTCACAACTCCCTTCTCACTCAGCTGGCTGGCTTAGATGGCCTCCTTTTCTGAGGGTCCTACTTGCTGGTGCAAGTGCTTTGTCAGCCTGCTTGAAAAGACCGGTGCCCTCTCTGGACACCCCAGGGGCGAGGACCCAAACCAGACACTCCACAGCTGGGATGAGCCTGCTCTTCAGAGCTCCGTGATGGAAAAGACCCATCCTGAGCCCGATGTGGTGACTCATGCCTGTCATCCCAGCACTTAGGGAGGCCGAGACAGGAGGATGACTTGAGCCCAGGAGTTCAAGGCTGCAGTGAGCTATGACTGCACCACTGTACTTCAGCCTGGGCAGCACAGCAAGACCCTGTCTCTAAAAAATAAAATAAAAAGACTGACGCCGGGGCCAGGACTGAGGAAGCCCTGCTCCACCCACCGGCCCAATGACAGCATCACTCCCCAACCCGCGGAGAAGCATGCACGCCGAGTTCACTGCCACAGACAAGCAAGTCACAAGCCGCGGGCCAACTCCTCCAGCCAGCCTCACTCCAGCTCGCAGGCTGGGAAAGGTGCTGCCTTGCTGTGCCAGGGATGCGGGAGGCCGGGAAGGCACCGTCTGCCTCACAGGCGGCGACCTGAGGGAGTCCCTGAGTGGGGGGAAGCCTATGTGGATCTTCAAAGTAGAGTCGGGGGAGGTCAGGGCACAGAGGGCAGGGCAAGGGCTCCGGGCTGCACGGCAGGGACCCTAATCCTCGACTGCCCCAAAGAGGCCATATCATCTTGGCCTCTCCGCTCGGCTCCTCTAGGCCTCAGTTTCTTCAAAGGTAGAATAAATGGTTGGATTAAAAGATCTCTAAAGCCTCTTTCCCTTGTAAAAAAAAAAAAACAAAAAAAAAACATGATCCTTTGGGAGGCCAAGGCAGGAGGATCACTTGGGTTCAAGACCAGCCTGGGAAACACAGCAAGATGCTGTCTCTACAAAAAACAAACAAAAAAATTAGCTGGGCACATGCCTGTAATCTCAACACTTTGGGAGGCTGAGGTGGGAGGATCACTTGAGCCCAGGAGTTCGAGACCAGCCTAGGCAACATAGCAAGACACTGTCTATTTTATTTTATTTTTTTGAGTTGGAGTCTCATTCCTTCGCCCAGGCTGGAGTGCAGTGGCACGCATGCTCACGGCCACCCCAGCGTCGACCTGCTGGGCTCCAGCGATCCTTCTGCCTCAG